ATCTCTAGAGATTCGCGGATTTTCCTGGAATAAAAGAAGGGGCTCTTAGAAATAATATGGGTTTTTTCGAACAATATGGAATGACCGGTTTCTTGACAGTGTTCTGCAACTGCAGAATGGGAGAAAAGACCTGATCGAATGCATCTTTGATGCTCTTGAATCCGAGTTTTGACGTAACGACCAGTTTCGCCAATATACACATGTCCACATGAACAAGGAATAGAATAGACACCACAGGAAGATAGAGGCGGTAATGGGTCCTTAGGAGAGGGTAGATATTGTGAGATTTTCTTGGGTGGTCGAAAAGTAGTCCTGATACCTTCTTTGCGAAGAATTTTGCCAATCCTATCAGTGACATTTCGAATATACGGAAGAAAAGCCACAGGAGTATTACCCGAAGATTTTGAATTTGTCGTTTTAGGGTGTAAAGGGGGATGTAGATGTCGGTGTGTAATATTTTGAATTGTGGACTTGGAGTAACCGTTGGCGACAAGGGTTTTTTGCAGATGGCCAAGTTCTTCTCTAAGGTTGTCGGGTTCAGAAATCGAAATGGCCCGATGGATGAGAGAGTTGATCACAGAATTCTTTTGGGCAGGATGGTGGTGTGATGAAGCATGTAGGTAACGACTCGTATGAGTCTTTTTTCTATAAACAGAGTGACCCAATCGGCCATTGGGCTTGGAGGTGACTAACACATCGAGAAAGGGAAGAGACCGATTATTTTCTACTTCCATTGTGAATTTTATACTCGGATGTTGTGAGTTAAGATGATCTAGAAAGGGCATCTTACAGTTCGTGCAGAAGAAGAAAACAGTGACCCAGAAGTGGAAGCAGAGTCAGAACTAGCTCCGACCCCTCAGTAGGCATTGAGTGTGGCAAAAGTACTGCATTTATTCTTCATCCACCAGGAAGACGATATGAGTGCTGTGGAAGAGTCTATGCGTCTTTAGGACAACGTCAGGTCAGTTCTGTAGAAATGGAAAAGGAAACAGACCAAGGTGACAGAGTTTTTTTGGTAATGTAAGCAAAATATATTTTACAGTAGTATATTATTTTTTTATTGTACTGTACACATGTTTTAATTGTACATTCATTTTTTTATATCATATTGCTGGTATTATTCTTTAATAAATGTATGTAGTGTACAATACAGCCTTAATTCATTTATATTCGTTTTACTACATTTTTTAAATTAAAATAGGGTATTTACTACAGTATTGTTAATATTAGAGTACCGAATTTTGTCTCTTTCTGTATAACGATCTCTCCTTATAACGATGAAAATTCCCGGTCCCTTGCATATCGTTATAGAGAGAGAGAGGACTGTATATTAATGACAGTAAACCGTGAGATATCAAATACCAATTCATTAATGTCAGTGTCCCGTTTTACGTTTTGGTAAGTTTTTTTATATATTTTACAATAACTTTTTGTTCCCAATCTTGTACATTTTAGAATCTTGACAAAGGCAAGGGTTTCTTGTCAAAACGTTGATTTCAATGGACAATAAAATCGTAGTTCCAAATTTAATATTACTTCTTCTTCTTTTAGTGCCGTCTTCACTAATGAAGGTTGGCTATAACCACTGCAAATTCGTCTCTATCTTCTGCTTTTCTTAAGAGCGTCTGTGTGTTTAACCCGGTCCAGTCGCGAATGTTTTTCAGCCAGGATAGTTGTCGTCTACCAAGACCGCTTTTTCCTTAGATTTTTCTTCATAATAAGCTGCAACAACTCGTACTTATTATTTCTAAGTATGTGCCCCAAATATGCGCTGTCTTTCGCTATTTAATGGTGGTCAAAAGTTCTCTGTCTCTTCCCATTCTGTGCAACACCATTTAGTTCATAATATGATTGGTCCATGGTATCTTTAAAATTCTCCTAAAAAGCTACATCTGAAAAGCTTCCAGTTTTCTCATTAAGTCAACATTAACAGTCCAGGCTTCGACACCATAGAGAAGAATAGAGTGGATATAACATTTTATTATCCGATATCGGATTTGCAGATTAAGTCTTTGGTTACTCAGAAATTTCCTCATCTTCAAAAAGGCTGTTCTTGATTGCTCTATTCTTGAGCGAATCTCTGATTTCGGATTCAGATCTTCCGTAATCCAGACTAATACTACTACTGGATCCTTGTAATAACTTTGCCCCTCTTACTGATAACCATGGTTTTTGTTTTCTTTATATTTATTGTTAAACCGAACTTTTCCCCAGTATCACAAATTGTGTTTAGTAACGTCTGCAGGTCTGCAGCATAACGGATGGTATTTATATTTTCAACATTTATTTTGATCCATTCTTTACAGTTTTCAAGTGCTTGCGCAAATAACACTTCGGAATATATATTAAATAGTAATGGTGAAATTACACAGCCCTGTCTCACTCCTCTACTTATCTGTTGCGCATCTGTGTTATTTCCATATAATGTTACCACAGCCTGTTGATTCCAATAGAGATTTCTCACTATGTCAATGTCATTTTTGTCGAGTTATAAATTATCTTCGTCTATAAGTTTAATCAGCTCGATATGAACTTCATCTGGCCCATGGGCAGATTTTGAGTTGTTTATAGCATGTTGAACTTCAGATTTTAGTTTCGTTCTTGTGTCCATGAAAAGATCTTCAATAAATTTAGTCCATACTTGTTTTATTTCAATTGGGTTATTAATAGGTTTATTGTTTTTGTCAATTAATCGGTTAGGTGTATTTGTTTGTACATTTTCCAGATAATTCTTTCACTTTTTTATGTAAATTATAATGATCATGATTTTTCTGCAATTCTTCCACTTAGATGCATGTTTCTATCATCCACTTTTTCTTAGCCTCTTTTATTTCGTTCCTTATGAATTTATGTTTTTCTCTGTACTTATTTGGATTTTTGTTTCTATATTTTCTTCTTTGTTTCATGATTTCCAGTATTTCTTGAATCATTCAAGCTTTTCGGTTCTCTGTTTTCTTTTGTAGAGTTTCTTTCTGTATTTTTATAACAAAACCTTTGATTTTGTCCCACATAATATTCACATTCTCAGTGTTTTTTATTTCTGATGTATAATTTCTTCATTTCTTGATTGATACAAGTTGAAGCATCAGCACGGATTTCATTTAAGTTTAGTAATTGAGTATTCACCTTAGAACTTTTGGGCTTTATTATCTTTTTTACTCTCAGTTTCATTTTTGAGACAAGGAGGTTATGGTCTGAAGGGACATCTGCTCCAGGAAAAGTCTTAACGCTTACAATGGAATGTTTAAATCTTAGATTGGTTAGAATAAAGTCGATCTGATTTCTAATGCAATGTTGTTCATTATCTTGTGATGACCTCCAGGTATACAGTCTATGGAGTGGTAATCGAAACCTTGTGTTCATAATCGCCAGGTTTTCTTCTTGACAAAATTGACCCAATCTGTCGCTTCTAGTATTCCTTATTCCTAAACTATAATCACCTTTTATATTGTTGACTCGGCCTTTTCCTATTTTTGCATTTAAATCACCCATTATTATAGTAATTTCTTTCTTTCTTATGTATTGTAGAAGTTGTTTGATTTGTTCATAAAAATGTTCTATTTTAGCTTCTGATTTATCTGCAGTTAGAGCATACACTTGTACTACATTAATCTTCACTAGCTTACCCATTATTTGTAATAATAGCATTTTATCCGAAAAGGGAACAAAATTTACAACGGCTGTTGTAAAGGATTCTCATGGAGATAATTATTCCAACTCCATATAGATGATCTTGGGTGTCATTTCTGGAGTAGTATATCGTTTTATTTATGACCAATGTTTTACCGGAACCAGGCCAGCATTTCGCTTATGCCTAATATTTCCAGGTTCAGTCTGTTCATTTCTGAATCGTGTTGTGCGTCTTTCCTTGTTCGAACAAATTCCTCACATTCCATGTCTCGAAATTTAAAAAGGATTTGTTCTCTATATAGTTAGTTGCCACATTCGAGTGGCTCCTCCTCGCGGAGATTTTTAGCACCCCTCGACCATTCAAGGTCTACCGCGGACTAGGGGCCATATGATTGACCGTACTTTGTATGGTTAGTGTTCTAGGGAAATCTGACGATCTTTAATATAGTGGTTCCCCGTTGCCTTCTACATCCTTATGCCGTTGACCACTAATAGGTTCATCCGCTTTTCGAGTCAATTTCTCAACCCCAGGACAAAAAAGTGCCCTACCACTTACTAACTCCTCCGCCCGAAGCCGGTGGTCAGTTAGTGGGGGATTGCTTATGCCGGCAATCACTCCGTGAATGAGAGTATAAAAGAAAGAAATATAGTGACCCGTCTGCATTCGGAAACCTAATAGACATTCGGGATCGGAACAGACAGCCAAGAGAGGCTGATAGGAAAGATTAAAATGTGAAGGTCCTTATGATACGCCAGGTGCGTTTATGAGAGTATGAGTACACTATGAGTAATACACTTTGTGTTCCCGCTCACACCTTGGGGTGTTGACTACAGACTGTATGGCTCGTCCAGCATGCCATAGCATGGAGGGTAGTATGCACGTCATTTTTTTTTACCTTACCACTATTAATATTACTATTTATTACTATATATATATATATATATATATATATATATATATTTATTTTATATATAAATATTTGCTGAGACTACAAATAATATATATATATATATATATATATATATATATACATATATATATATATATATATATATATATATATATATATATGTATATATATATATATATATATATATATATATATATATATATATATATGTATATATATATATATCCTACAGAGTTCCATAAAATTGCTCTGTTAACATTCTCTGCTAATATTCGATTGGAATATTTATCACAAAGTAAGGATTACATTTTGAGTATAATAGGATTTTTAATATATATTTCGTTCAGAACAGTATTTGGAGTTGATGGTTTGAACAAGGAATTATGAAAAATTCACTATTTATTTAGAACAGTTTTATAAGTGGTACTATTTTTTATTTTGTCGAATGTGATACTTGACATGATCAGTGTATGTGAAAATATTGAATATACTCATATTTCAGGAAAACTTGGGGGCTCGCCAGTGCTGCAATTTGCTACTGTTTATGTGTGGGACCATAGACTATGTAATCAAGTTGTTCCGCCAGAGGTAAGGAAGTTTTATATTTTCATATGTATATACTTTATATATATATATATATATATATATATATATATATATATATATATTAATGCCGTAATTTAGGAATTCATGTAGATGAATGACTTACTAACTCTATAGGAACTTCTAAAACTGATACTATTTGCTTTTCACTTATTCATGTTTTTCTTATCACCGTCGGCGTCAAGTTTTTGTTTCTTATTTAATCTGCCCTATTTTCAGTTTGTTATGAGAATCCAGTATACTTCAGTTTTTTATCGTTTTTTTTTATCTATATCTATAATCGTTTCTGTTATATATTTTTTTATTATTTATATTTTTATTTTGTCGGTCAGATAGCTAAGCGGGCAAGGGCGGCCGATTCTCATTCGCTTCACTGTCGAATGGTTAAGTGGATGTGGGATCAAGCCCTAGCTCGGTGTACTGAAAAATAAAAAAGGCTAAGGCAGCAGTTTAAAATTCTAAAACGAATCTGCGGCTTAGACTAGAATATGTTAGTGTTTAATCGGCCTATGGTAAAGGCTTGCGTCTCGGTGATACTCCTCCATCCTAAATACCGGCGTTTGTGTATATATATATATATATATATATATATATATATATATATATATATGTAGGAAATATTTCTTAGATTAAGTATTTAGCATAGTTTTATTTGTTAGTTACGCCACTGCGAGATACCACAAAAACCCGATTCTTAAGGTGTCACAGACAGGTCGCCACCGCGGGGAGAGAGGCTCCCTACAGTAGGCTAAATCCTACATTTTTGGGGGCTCAACCGGGATTATTTCGAAAGAGACAGTAACGTTTATTTGTGCCGCGAATTATGGATGCAAGATACGGGCAATAAGACAGTGCAGTTTTCGACTAAACAAAATCGAATCAACGACGAACGACACGACGTAAGACGTGAATTTTGTAACATATGCGAATCATCAAGTATAAAATAAGAGAAATGGCTGTTAGCAGACGACGACTACGATAAGATTAATTTATGGTTTATGGATGTTTGGAGTAGTTTGGACCCACTGGATGATGATAAATGATCAGGTGACTTTGTTCCTTTAATAGATCGTGCGAAGATTATTTTTCTATCATGAACTGTGAACTTTAAAAAAGAACTTTTAAAATATTTGCAATTATTTGTTGATTTAACTTTTTTCTGTTGATGTGAGGACTTTTTAATAATGATAGTTGATAATTGACTCTATAATAATATTTTAATTTGAATGTTAAAATCAAAATCTTGTAGTAGGATATTTTGTTTTATTTTCAGATATTATTGTGCTTATTATATTATAGTAGTAATACAAAGAGATAAGATTTGCGAATTAAAAGCGACCACAACCTCGTTCACGTAATAATAATTTAGACTACACTCAGAAAAATAATCTAAGCGTTTAACTTTTTAATTTTTTTAAATTTTCTTTTAAATAACTTTGATATAAATTTTTTAAAATGCAGTCTAAACAAAAGACTCTTACCGATTTTCAAAAAATTAGTCATAATATTAAAAATTCGACATATAAAGCTGTTAAGGCGTTGCACATTATAGCATATGGAGACGAAGGGGTGCCGCGACAAACAAGAAGGAATTTGCGGAATTTTTCAGGCTTTTCATGGGATAAAAATGCCAGCGAATATGCTGATAAGATAAACGACGTAAAACAGAAACTAGATATGCCAGACTTAGTTGCAGTCTGTAATGTATTGGATCTGGATTATTCGGGTGTAAATGACGATGTAATTGAACGTATTTGTTCGTTTTTGAATGAATTAAATGTCGATGATCAGAATGACGAAGATGGCGTTGATTACGACGACGCAGACGACGATAAAGAAGCTTCTGACGATGATAAATACGTTTATGACGATAAAGACGGTTTCGACGACGAAGACGATAATGAATACGAGGACGATACTGAAAGTAGGCCGACGATGGCTATAAAGACGAAGAAAAAAACAAAATCAGGTAGAACGACGACCGGTAAAGTAAATGATTCTTTTGCTTTGACTTTTAAAGACGTAGAAGACAGCATAAGACCCTTCGACGGAAAAGACGATTATCCGGTAAGAAAATGGATTACTGACTTCGAAGAAATTTCTGAGTTAATGGGATGGAATGATTTGCAAATGCTAATTTTTGCCAAACGATCCCTAAAAGGAATTGCGAAACTGCATATTCAATCAGAAAAAGGAATTAATGGCTGGAAAATATTGAAGAAAAGACTTATTTCGGAATTCGAAAATAAAATAAGTAGCGCTGAAATACATAAAATGCTGATGCGTAGAAAGAAAAAACATGATGAAAGTGTACAGGAGTATGTACTGACGATGAGGGAAATTGGTAGCAGAGGTAACATAGAAGACGAGGTCATAATACAATATACAATAGAAGGCATTCAAGACGACCCTGTTAATAAAGTTATGCTTTATGGCGCATACAACTTCAGAGACTTCAAGGAGAAAATTAAATTGTATGAACTCATTAAAAGACAGACGACACATAAATCCTCTACAACTGAAACGCATAGAAAGAAGTGGACGAACAAAGAAGTACGACGGCATAATGAAATACGAGATTATAGAAACAATGAAGCTAGAGGAGATGACAGAAGAACGTCGGAAAATAGGACTAAGAAAGAAGAACAATGTTATAATTGTGGAAATCGAGGACACAGATCAAGAGATTGTCCTGATAAAGCCAAAGGAACGAAATGTTTCAAATGCAACCAATTTGGACACGTTTCTTCTCGATGCAATGCTATAGAAGATAGACCTTCGACTTCTGGTCAAGTAAATGTCATTGACGTGGTATACAAAAACTCAGTGACCTTAAAATTTGGAAGAATATCGTTACGCGCATTGTTTGATACAGGAAGTGACATAAGTGCAATGAGACAAGATATTTTTGAAAAGCACTTTGATGACGTCATTCTTACGAAGAATATAGTAGAGTTAAATGGATTAGGAGGAATTAAGGTTAAAACTTTAGGTTCTTTTAAGATAATAGTGGAAATTCAAGGCGAAGATTTTCATATTTTATTTCATGTAATCCCAAAAGGAGCACTAGACGTCGAAGTTATTCTTGGAAATAATATTCTAAAACAAGCAGAGGTTACCATAACCGATGATGGAATTATTTTATGTAAAAAAGAAGTAGATAATATGATAATGAGGATTGCCGTTGATGAGGCGACACACGATGATAATTTACAACTGGAACATATAAAAGACCCAAATATCAAGATGGAAATACAAGAATTAGTGGAAAATTATGAACCACGACAGACCAAGACTACAGATATAAAAATGAAAATAATTCTAAGTAGTGAAGAACCGATACACCAAAACCCAAGAAGGCTATCAATACCAGAAAAGCAAGAAGTAGGTAAGCAAATTGAGGAATGGATAGAGAAAAAAATAATTCGACCTAGTACATCTGATTTTGCAAGTCCAATTGTACTTGTCAAAAAGAAAGACGGACAGATCAGAGTTTGCGGTGATTACCGAAAACTTAACCGGAATGTAATAAAAGATAGGTTTCCATTACCTTTAATAGAAGACGTATTGGATCGGTTACAAGGTGCAGAATATTTTAGCACAATCGACCTAAAGAATGGATTCTTTCATGTACCAATAGAAGAGGATAGCGTTAAATACACTGGATTCGTCACCCCAGACGGACAATATGAATTTTTAAGGTGTCCTTTCGGATTGTGTAATAGTCCTGCAGTTTTTCAAAGATTTATTAGCCACATATTTAGAGAGCTGACATCCAAGAACATAGCAATTTACTATATGGATGACATAATAGTCTTAAGTAAATCCGAAGAAGAAGGAGTTGTACGTTTAAAGCAAGTACTCGAAGTAGCTAGGGACTACGGCTTAGAGATAAAGAAGAAAAAGTGCCAATTTTTACAGAAAAGAGTAACGTTTTTAGGATATATTATTGAGGACGGCAGAATTCAACCATCAGATGAAAAAACTATGGCCATAAAGAAATTCCAGGAACCAAAGAACTTTAAGCAGATTCAGTCATTTTTAGGCTTGACTGGATACTTTCGAAAATTTGTACCGTCATATGCTACGATAGCTAAAGCCTTAAGTGATCTACTCAGAAAAAATCAAACCTTTGAGTTTGGATCAAAAGAAAGGAGTGCATTTTTAAAACTTAAAGAGCTGTTAACTAGTCAGCCGGTTTTAGAAATTTATCACCCAGATAGAGAAACCGAGTTACACACAGACGCTAGCAGTCATGGATATGGAGCTTGTCTTTTACAGAGATCAAGAGAAGATAATAAGTTTCACCCAGTTTATTACATGAGCAAGAAAACAAGTCCAGCCGAGGAAAAGTATACAAGTTACGAATTAGAAGTTTTGGCTATAATAGAAGCAGTGAAAAAATTTCGTATCTATCTACTCGGAATCAAATTTAAGATAGTAACGGATTGTTCCGCATTTACTAAGACTATGAATAAAAAAGACTTAACTACCAGAGTTGCGAGGTGGGCTCTGTTACTGGAAGATTATCAATACGAACTGGAACACAGAAAGGGAACAAGGATGGCTCATGTAGACGCTCTCAGTCGATACCCTATAGTCATGATCATAAATGAGACATCAGTAGTACAAGAACCAGGTTTTATAGAAAGAATAATGCATGCTCAAGAAGCTGATAACCACATTCAAGCAATAAAGAAAATACTTGCTACCGAGGAAAGGAAGCTTACGAGGATTTTCTGATTAGAAACAATATTCTATTTAAATATGACGAAGGTAAGGAATTGTTAGTCATTCCGAAACGAATGCAAACAGAAGTAATTAAACTGTTACACGACGTAGGACATTTTGCTGTAACAAAAACACAGGAGTTAATTCAAAGAGAATGTTATATTCCTAACCTTAAAGAAAAAGTCGAGCATTGTATAAGAAATTGTATTAAGTGTATACTTGGAAGTAGAAAAGAAGGTAAAAAAGAGGGTTGG